TGTGCTTGTGGGTCCCACTGTGTGATGATCTGACACAATCAGCAATGTAGTAGTAATAAAATACGAACCAGTAAATCAAATCCTTACACTTGCCCTCTAGCATTTAGTCCTAAATGCTAAAAATTAGTAGAAAAGGCAGAAAACTTACTTAAAAGTAACAATTAGTAACAAGTAAATAATAAAATACCTTGCCCATGCATATGGGAAACATTGTTGTGATGTAGTACTACCTCTCTGAAGTGATCCGAAGTCAATCCAGTGAGTATTGAGGCAGTGGTGGCATTCTGGACAGTGGGTAGTATGGTTCCAAACCATGTGAAACTAGATAAAATGTTAATAGAATTAAACATAGTCAATATTACCATATAGTCAATTAGTAGAAAAGTTGCCTCTTGATTGTTGCTATTGATACAACACTTTTCGAAGGGAATTGGTGGAGTTCCTGGGGAGATATGGTGTTTTGGCTCTTGAGTATTCTGAGACACACAGTGTAGATTGATATGTATGGAAGTGGAAATTCTGGCAGCATGGTAATTGCAAATATTCTCTTCTCCTGCATCTTCAGGAAGCACAGAGGTAAATCCCTGATTGACAAAGCTATAACCTTCTTCCTCAATAGAATGGATTAGTGTTACAGCTTCTAGCTGTCCTTGCACGAATTCTTGTTCCTGTAGAATAGTCATACAATAATAGATAGTAGAGATGTATTCCAAAATTCCTCTGCTATGTCCTCAATTTTTCCAATAGACTAGTTCCTGCAAATGTAGTGCCTTGTACTTGTATTAGTCCAAATGTGTACTCTTTTGCTTGCAATAACAAACTGTGATGCAAAACTGGATATCCTGTTGAGCCTGATGTCCAAATACTAATTGTAGAGTGTAATGTAGAGTGTAATATCTGTCCTTGAATGAGAATATTGTCTCAAACTCAATGAAATTGTAATGTATGAGCCTAATATCACTAGATATGTGTGTATATGCACAGTATCTCTGTGTGCAATGAATGTCCTACTGTATTCTCATACTGTTTCCTTGTGTCTCAACTCGTTTGTGTCTTTGTAAGTTGATTGATTCGATTCCTGAATCGTCCAAGTATACTTTCAATGTCTCATAGTGTGATGTTCTATCACACTGTGTCCAAGTAGTGTTCTCTACTTTCCTGAGTGCTGTAGCTGTCTGTATACTGTGTTGTTCTATGTATGTCTTAATGAAATGTCCTATCTGTATGCACAGTAGTACTGCCTGAAGTCCTGAGTGTATGCTGCCAATTCTCTGTTCATTTGGCAAATCCATGTGTGGATCAATGTGTTCTAGCATTGACTTCCTGTCTTTCTGTGTCCTTGTCCTTGTTCCAATGTATTCTTTCCTTGTGTACCTATCATGTGTCCTGTTTCCTGTAGTACTGATACTGTCTGGTACTGTAAAGTCCTTCACAAAATCGTTTTGTAGTATCTCAAGTAAGAAAATTGTATGTTCAAACATGATTGTATGCTCAAAGAGTGTGTATGCAATGCAATGTGTGTGCCTCTTACCCTCTCATTGAAATATGAATGTATTTTCAGTGAATAAGTCCTTGTGTTCTCCTGAATTAAGTCTGGGCAATCTGGAGAGGTTCTCTGTGTGATTTTGTACTTTGAACCAATTGTAACTACTCATTCCTAGAGTAGATTGAACTGTATCATTGTTTAATAGATGTTCTAGAGTGTTCTGATACTCTGTTTCCTTCTGTAGCATTAAAGTATCATGCCTGAATGCTTGAATAGTCTGATTGATCATTCCTAATTCACTATTGCTCTGATATTTGCTAGCTGTATACATATTGCCTTTGCTTTCCCTTGAAGCAGTGTGATAATCCGTTTGAGCAGATTGAGCAGATTGAGCAGATTGAGCAGATTGTCCAGGTTCTGAACCTGTTCTCTGGCTTGAAGTTGCCCTCTGAACTTCTGTACTTTGTTCCATACAAAGTGTATCTGTTCCTGATCTCAATAGTGTCTTACTATCATTATGTTGTATAGATTGTAGCAGTTTTACATCCTGTAGATTGTAATTGTCATCCTGTAGCTTGAATATTACAATCCTTACTATGTATCCTGAGTATATGCATGCTAGTACATCCATTTGAGTGCCTGTGATGCTTATAATATGTCTGATAGAGTGTCCTGAGTCTATTCCAATGAATCCTAACTGTCTGAAGATGTATTTCACAATGTAATACCTTATGTTCTCCTGAAACTGTGTTCTGTACAATATATCCTTGTAGTCTGAGCTGGTTCTAACGTTTCTGAACAATTCTTCGTCATGAGCTGGATATTTTCGTAGCATAACATCCAATTGTACCTTATAGAACATTGTTCTATGTGAATTACTTTGATCATGCTCTGTACTGATCGTTTCTTCAATCCTGAAGCTAGAAATGTCTGTTCTGATGTCAACTGACATAGTTCCTTTGTAGTACTCAATACTAATCCTGTATCTCTTCCTGTACTGAATAGAATTGACTGTGTATGCATATGTCTGTGTCTTTCTATTGCTGTCAATGTATCTCCATGCCTGATGCTTATTCTAGAGTAGTATCATCTTATTCCTAATGTATATACACTTTGCCTTGCTCAATGTGCTAATGTCTGTCTTCTGATGCATGATGTAGCCTTCTAACTTAATAGAATACCTGTGTGAATCGTTTAGATTGAAATATTTCTCAGTATCCAAGAGTAGTTGTATTTTATAGTCCAGTAATGCTTGATAGATTGTCCTGCTTGTGCAGTTTACTCTTTGCATTGCCTTGTAAACCATAATACTATCTGGCTGGTTATATTCCAATCTTCTAACATTCTCAGGTCCTTTCCTGATGTCCTGGTATGCATTCCTGTTGTCTGTAAACATCCTGTATTTCTTAAGAGTGTTGTTTTGATTTGTGGCTCTAAGAATTGGTAATAGTGTCTCTGAAGTGTCTATGTATGTGTTGCCTTGTGCCTGTAGTGTCTTAGATTCCTTAAAACAATGGTTGTATGTGTGTTTCCTAGTCCTTTCCATGTGCCATACATATCTGTAGTCCTGTAGAATCCTTTCTACACTGTATGCCTGTGCTTTTGAGCATAAAATGTCATTGTATGCTTCATACAGTTGTCTGTGCCTCAATGTAGCTATCTAGTACTGTTTCATACAGTTCTGCTTGTTTGCTGTACTATTCCTTAGTCCTGTAGTCCCATAGGGTCTCGAATATACTGAATTTGCCCTTTCAAATGTGTTGTTCACATGCCTGAACTTGTGTTTGTTCTTGAACTACTGTTTGAGCTATTCTTATGCTTACTGTACTCAATATGTGGCTTTGAACTGTATAGTTTGCTGCACTCTGAATCGACTTTGTTCTCACTAATACCACTAGTGTATGCCTTGCCTGGGACTGCTTTCAATTGCAAAGTATTGCTATGGGATCATTTGTTCCTTTTATTTTTGTAAGGGATACTCTGATGTCCTGAAAAACTCAGTATTTCCATTTGAGACCACATATATCCAGGTATTTCACTTTCTCTCTGATTCCTGGACCTGGCTAGAGTGTTGTATCTGTTGTAGTACTCCTGTACATTGCTCCTGTACAATACATAGTTGATATCTACCATGTATGAGGTTAAACACTTGATTTTGTGGGTGTATGCTTGGTTTTCACCCTCTGGATCAAGTACTGATCCTTGTAGTTCCAATTTGCATTCACTTTTGCTATCCTCAAAGTACTGTTCTGTTGATGCAATGTCTGTTTTGCTAGGATAGTCTGAATCGATTTCACAATTGTATTGAATGCCTGGCAGTTCTGGTTTTCGTTCTGTTCCTTGTGCTTTGTGTTTTCCTTTCACTTTGCACTTTCCTTTTGCTTTCTATGAATGCAATTGTTTGTCTGGACTCTTGAGCGTTTCTTCTACACTCTTAGATTGATAGTTATGATCTCTACTGTCTGTGGGTACTATAGCATGTCTGGCTTTCGTTCTGTAGCCTGCCCAAAGTGTTTCACACTTTTCTGTTACTATACTATCAAGTCTGCTCTTGTTTGATGAAGGAGTTGCTTTCTCCTCTTCCTGATACATTCT